TGGACCATATGGAGTCCCATACCTGGAGGGGTGAGAAGGGTGCGAATGCATCCCCGTCCCTTATGATTCCCCAAATGGAAGGCTGGGGCGGTACACTGCCTAAGCCTTCCTCCCCCTGTGCTCTGGCCGGCTGGGGAAAAGCAGGAACAGTGTGCTGCTCGAGCCTCCCTCTCCCATGCTTCAGCCAGCTGGGAAAACAGTTTGTTTGGGTTACCTGACTCACTTGGTGCAGTCCTCTCTGGCTGGGTGGGTTACATAAGAACGGCCGTACTGGGTCAGACCAAAGGTCCATCTAGCCCAATATCCTGTCTGCTGACAGTGGCCAGCACCAGGTGCCCCAGAGGGGGTGGACCGAAGACAATGATCAAGCGATTTGTCTCCTGCCATCCCTCTCCAGCCTCTGACAAACAGAGGCCAAGGACACCATTTTATCCCCTGGCTAACAGCCTTTTATGGTCCTACCTCCATGAAATTATCTAGCTTCTCTTTAAAATCTATTATAGTCCTAGCCTTCACAGCCTCCTCTGGCAAGGAAGGGGTTTGAGGAAGCAGGCTGCATGGTGTGTGCGGGCGCCAGGACATTTGCATGATTACATTTCAAAGTTTACATAGGTGTTAATGGCTTACAGTAAGAAAGAAAAGTATCAGAGGGGTAGCTGTGTTAGTCTGAATCTGTATAAACAACAAGAAGTCCTGTGGCAACTTATAGACTAACAGATTTATTGGCGCATAAGCTCCATGGGAAGGAGGCTCTGAAAGTATTCCACCGTGATTTCAACAGTTTCCACCCCATTATCAACCTCAGCCTGGACCAGTCTACAAAAGAGATCCATTTCCTGGACACTACAGTGCGAATAAGTAATGGTCACATCATACCACCCTATACCAAAAACCTACTGCCTGCTATGCTTACCTACATGCCTCCAGCTTCTATCCCGAACATGCCACTTGATCCATTGTCTACAGCCAAGCACTAAGGTACAACTGCATTTGCTCCAGCCCCTCTGACAGAGACAAACACCTACAAGATCTTCACCAAGCATTCTTAAAACTACAATACCCACCTGAGGAAGTGAGGAAACAGACTGACAGAGCCAGACGTGTACCCAGAAGCTTCCCTCTACAAGACAGGCTCAACCAAGAAAATAACAGAACACCACTGGCCATTACCTACAGTCCCCAGCTAAAACCTCTCCAACGCATCATCAGTGATCCCCAATACATCCTGGACAATGGTACCTCTCTCCCAGACCTTGGGAGGCAGGCCAGTCCTCACCTACAGACAGCCCACCAACCTAAAGCAAATTCTGACCAGCAACTATACACCACACCACAGTAACTCTAACTCTGGAACCAATCCCTGCAACAAACCTCAGTGCCAACTCTGCCCACATATCTATACTTGTGACACCATCACAGGACCTAACGACATCAGCCACACCATCACAGGCTTATTCACCTGCACATCTACCAATGTAACATATGCCATCGTGTGCCAGCAATGCTCCTCTGCCATATATACTGGCCAAACTGGACAGTCCCTAAGTAAAAGAATAAATGCACACAAATCTGATACCAGGAATGGTAACATACAAAAAACCTATAGGAAAACACTTCAATCTCCCTGGACACACAGTAGCAGATTTAAAAGTAGCCCTTTTGCAATAAAAAAAAAAAACTTCAAAAACAGACTTCAAAGAGAAATTGCAGAGCTACAATTCGTTTGCAAATCTGACACAATCAATTTAGGATTAAACAAAGACTGTGAATAGCTAGCCAACTACAAAAGCAGTTTCTCCTCTCTTGGTGTTCACACCTCCACATCAGCTGCTAGAAGTGAGCCACATCTTCCCTGACTGAACTTACCTCATTATCTCTGGCCTTCCTCTTGATTGGTACTCCTTTTTTTTTCATGTGCCTGTATATTTATACCTGCCTCTGGAATTTCCATTACATGCATCTGACAAAGTGGGTCTTCAACAGAATTGTTTTGCTGTGTTGCAGATATCTCAAACTCTGATCTTAATGATTTTTTTAAACCCTGTCTTACTAATTAATACATGGTATATAGTATTGCATGAAGGCCAGATCTTTGCAACATGGTAGAGTTCTGGCTCTTATGAGTCAGAAGTAGCATGTAATAGGTGTGATGCTACTTTTGTAGGCTGAAATCTTATTTGCAAGCTCTTTGAAACATGCATCTGTCTACAAACCTCTAAAGCCATGTGTTAATTTGTTCTGGGGCTTCTACTCTTTCAGCTGACACACAAGTGTCAAACCAGAAGAACTTTTCTCTCTCTTTACATAATGGATCTTAGCCATTCCCCAGAGAAACTGTATAAACCTTAGCAAATGCCTATTACTCTCCTTCCAGAGTCAGTAAATATTGTATTCATCATATTCTCCATACAAATACTATTTCTAGTTGACATAGATATGTTTAGCATCTTAAAGCTGAGCCTTGTATGGATAATCTGCATTGTGGTGTGCTTACTAGCTTGAGTTATCAGAAACAACGATGATACATGTACTCCAAATCATGTTTCATTAATGATTGAGGTTTGAGCTAAAATGAGTTATGAATCAAATTGACCAAATTATGCTAAAAAAATTTGAAATATCTAAAATGCTTAACAATTCACACATATGCCTGTTGATTTACTGAGGGATTCTATTAATTTTGACGTACACCTATGCTGATCCACAGATGTTAAATGTGATAATTTAAAAGTGCCCCTGAGTGGATACCTCTTTGACGTTTTAAATCTGTCTTTTCAAAACATTCACCCAGGGTGCCCACCTCCTGCCCCCACCCCATTAGCAAAGTTACCACTAGTCTTGGAAAGGTTGTACATAATAAAAGCAGCTGTCACAACAAAGATGTTTCTCATCAGCCTCAGGATTTTCAAAATGTATATTACATAGTCATTTCTACAACTACTCAGTGTACTGTACTTTCTTCTATGAAAGTGTTCAGTAAAAGGCTTTATGGCACTGTTACCCAGAATGTAACTTCTCTTACAGGATATGGAAATGCACCTACTTCAGCCATGCAAGAATTAAGCCTTTTGAAGCTTCACCCTGAGAGGGAAATGAATTGCCCAGATATTTACCTAGTCACAGTCTCTTCAAAGACTCCAACTGGATAAAGCAGCAACTCACCTATGCATGACTTTATTACCTTACTCTGAGTGGAAGTTGTAGTGAACTTGTGATCACAAAAATAACTCTTCTGTGGGGTTCAAAGGACTACTCACACCAACCAGAGCACTTGTTGGAATTAGGGAGTGACCTCTGGTAAATTCACTAGCACAACTGTAGGTTCTTTTACTTTTTAAATTCTGTTTTGATTGTAATGCTTTTACAAGTAACTGTACTTGATTAGAAAGAGCTGTATTGTAACTTAAGTGTGTCAATAACACAGTTTACCATTTTTTAGTTGAAAAGCAAAGCAGGCCTGCTTAGGCAGTCTGACTTTGTTGGAGAATTCATAGTAGAAGCAAGGAACTGCTCTTGCTGGACCACAGAAGAGGATTAACAGTACAGTTGCCCTGTATTGTGACCCTGAACACCCAAGCCATGAAAACAACTAATAAAGCAAGAGAGAGGTAACAAAAAAGAAGGCTGAGCAAAGTCTTGAGGGCTGAAGCTGTACTACTGGTAGTGAAGAAGGAATTCTCAACCATTAGTATTACAATTTCCACTTGGTGAAAATCTTCAGACTCTTAAGTTATGTATCTTAATTTTATGAAAAAAGAGGAAAAGTTTATTTCTTATTGGTACCTCAACACCACTACAACATGAGCTTTAGAAACAGCAAGATGAGCAAAACTGAAGCAGGGAAATTACAAATCCTGAGTGTCTGAAGAAAGAAGTTAAGAGTCTAGCAGTTTGTTCAATTTTTGAACTGTAAGTCCACTGCAAGAAAACCAGGATCTGCAGTTATCACATCAGTTAGAAATCCTTGCACCATAACAAGGTGGAGACTAGAAAAATGGAATCTTTGCTAAGGGGATGGGGAGAGACTGCATTTGAAGGAACCAAACTTAAATTTTAAAAAAATATATGCATCTCCTTTAATGTGAGAATTTTAATAGGTGGTGGCTGAGGCTTTTTAGAAGACTTACACCACTTCTAGGAGTTGTTTTAGATCATTACACTGCCTTTGCTTTTTTGTTGTTATAAATATCAGCCAGCTCATAAGAACATATAAGCACATAAGAATGGCCATACTGGGTCAGACCAAAGGTCCATCCAGCCCAGTACCCTGTCTGCCGACAGTGGACAATGCCAGGTGTCCCAGAGGGAGTGAATAGAACAGGTAATGATCCAGTGATCTCTCTCCTGCCATCCATCTCCGCCCTCTGACAAGCAGAGGCTAGGGACACCATTCCTTACCCATGTTGGCTAATAGCCATGTATGGACTTAAACCTTCATGAATGTATCTAGTTCTCTTTTAAACCCTATTATAGTCCTAGCCTTCACAGCCCACTCGCCCCGCACTTATTGCTTGGAAAGGGCGTCATCACTTGAACAGACAGAGCCGCTCCGTAGCATGTTCTGCCTGATGCCTATGGGACAAGCCTTCAATTTCCTCCGGACTCAGCCTCCCCCCACGATTCTTGCCCTCCTCCCAACAGCCGCAACGGGAGATGCTACAGGGTAACAGGGCAAAGCAGCACCACCCACCCCTGTATCTGGGCCCCTACCAACCCAGCCTGGAGGGGGGCGTGGAAGACACGTAGGGCCTGCGGAAGCCTCACAGGGCGGGGGTGTTAGGCAGGCCTGGAGGGAGGTGCAGACCCGAAGGGATCTCTGCCCTTTTTTGGGGGCACAAAGGCAGCCCCCCGGCGGAAGACCAAGCGGGCAGGCGCCTCGCGCGAGTAGAAGACGCCCCAGCGGCGGCCCCAGCCCCAGGCTAGGAAAAGGAAGAACGTTCCGCCCCGGGAGCCGCCCGACGCCGCGGGGACCCGGGCAAAGGGGCAGGCCTCGCCCTCACCTTGAAGGGGTTATTGAGGTCCGGGTCCGCGAAGGGGTTACTGTCGAAGTCCGACATGGCGGATCCCCGAGCGGCAGCGGCTCCACTCCAGCGCCCACCAGCTACCCCCGAAACCAATGTCACAAGCAGATCCGGCCCTGAGCCCGCCCCTTCGCCCGAGCAGCCAGCGAGAGCCAACATGGCCTCCCCGGAAGTGATGTATCGGCGAGGCGGTGCTATCTTCACACCTGGAAAAGGGCCACTCCATGGAGGGCAGGACGGGGGCGAAGGGGAATGGTATCGTCTCATGGAGCCTAGGGCCCCCTTCCCTCCCGTCTTTACAACTCTCCGTCCTTCTCTTCCTCGCGCCCGGACAGGCAGCTCTGACCTTGCTGCCTGCACCAGGAGGGGTTGGGCGGTTGTCCAGTCCCGGTCCTAATCCCGGCTCTGAAAGGGTGGGCGTGCTTGGGGCATAAAGCGACACCAGACGGACTCGCGCGGCGTCGGGTTGCAAAGTCAAGGATTTCTCTCTATCGCGCACAGTGTGTTCTGTTTGCCTCTGGGTTCTGCGTAGCACAAACTTTTCGGGCTAGAACTTTGTTACGGAAGGAGAAAGCTGAGCTGCTGGGTTGAGAGCAGAGTTGCAAACACGGAGAGGTTTAGACAAAACACTAGACTGCTTAGCACAAGGCTAGCACTCACAAAAGTTGGCAAAACTCTCAGCTCCCTCTGGGATGCTGCCCTACAGATAGAGCTGGAGGAGAGACAACTCGGTGGAAGGACAGGGGGCCGAGCACGGAAAGCAGCCGAATTGCTCGGAGGTCCTGCAGCTTTGGTACCATCCTTACACACAAAGGTAATGTTGGATGGGGAGGGAAAAAGCATGGTGCCCTTAGGATGGGGACAGGGTCACATAGGAAAGTTGTCTCCCCCTTCCCCCATACCAGGAAGAAATTTATTTTATTTCACCCCAACTGCAATGAAGTAAAACATGTCATACTCTCCAAAATTGTGAGATTAAAAAAGGTGAGTATATAAGGCCTTTTCAGGCCTCTTGCTGGAGGCCTTGTGGTCCTACCCCACCTCACCCCAAGAAAGGAGCAGTGAAGGTTGGTCTTTTAAGCCTGCCTAGAAAGTCTCTAGGAGGAAACCAACCAGAATGCAGAAGGCTCAGATAAAGGGAACTGCAGAGACGGAGGAGGTTAGTTGCTTGTGGAGAACCAAAAGGGTGACAAAAGACTGGAAAATGGTGAATTAACAAAGAGCCCAGTGAAAACACTTGATTAAGGAGGGACTAGTGAGAACCCAATAACCATAATCTTAAGGGACTATGTGAGAAGCAGCTGTAACTCTTAATGGAAACAGTATGCAGCTGTTGTTTATAGACTCTCTGGGTTTGGACCTATGGTAGTGTGTGGGCCTGGGTCCCTCCACCGGCCTGTGGGGAAGTGGCTGAAATTCTAAAGCGTGTCATCTCCCTTGTTCAGTAAGATAGAAAGGGTACTAGAATGTAAACAGGTTCAGAGATTGAGTGGAAGATGGACCCACCCTTTTTGGGTAATAGTTCAACAAATGGTCAATCTATCATCTGGGACTCAGCTAGAGGACTGAGCCACTGAGGTCAACAACTTACAGGGAGTGATAGGAATAGGGGAAAAGATGGCTACAACATTACCAATAAGAGACACTGAGAGGTGTGTCCCTTATACCACAATTTTTTCTTTGCATGACCTATATTTTTGACTTCTGCCTATTCCCAGCATGTATATGTCTGGCAGTGGTGTCAAATCTCCCACTTCCAGGATGAGAGGCAGCTTCAGGAGGTCTTCAACACCCACTCTCCATGTATCTCTTCCTTCCTATGTCAGGTGCTGTAGGAAGGGAGAGGGGAACCATATGATCCCTGTTGGTCATTTGAGGTAACAAGATTTGCACCAAAACTCCACACTAGATTCAGTAACAATAGAGGAGTGTGTCCAAGTTTCCAAGACTGATTTAAATTCATAGGCTCCCATTTCAGTCCTGCAAACACTTATCCATGTGTTTTTAACGTAACCTTACTGTGAGTAGTTCAAGTAAAGCAGATATGGAAGTGTTATCAGCGCTTTAAAGTACCAAACCACTAGCCTTGCTGTATAAAGTCAGGCACAGTGGGACTACGTCTACACTGGCGTAATCTTGCGCAAAAACTTTTTAGCGCAAGAGTTCTTGTGTTAAAGTAGTTGCTCAAGAGAGAGTCTACACTGGCGTGTGCTTTTGCACAAGAGATGTGCTTTTATGCAAAAGCATCCTTGCCAGTGTAGATGCTCTCTTGTGCAAGAAAGCTCTGATGGCCATTTTAACCATAGGGCTTTCTTGTGCAAGAAATTCATGTTGTCTGTCTACACTGGCTTCTTGTGCAAGAACAGTTGCACAAAAGGGCTTATTACTGAGCGGGAGCATCAGAGTTCTGGTGCAAGAAACCCTGATTTCATACATTAGAACATCAGTTTACTTGCACAAGAACACACGGCCAGTGTAGACAGGCAGCAAGTTTTTGCGCAAGAGCGGCTGCTTTTGCGCAAGATTGCACCAGTGTAGACACAGCCCAGTAGTATAAAGTTTTCCCCAATATTAGCCTCAGCTGTCACTTGGTAAGGACCAGGTGTAGAAGTACATAGTTCCATTGGGCTCCCTCATAAAATGGCCAAAAAGGGTGTCAGTTGGGTCTCAAGGACAAGGGCCATTCAGGGACATGAAATGCTGTTCTGTTGGGGTCGGGGGGGAGGAGAGGGTAGATCAGCAGGCAGCTGGACTAAAATGGCTACTTGAAACTAGAGGTCTGAAATGGACAGCAAAAGCAAGATGCCTCCATTAACTTCCTAACTCCCAAAGAAAGGAGAGCACAGGGTTGCAGAGGATTCATCATCCCTGCCACACCCTCCCAGTGAAAGCTCAGAACAGAAAGAGGCTGACTCCAAATGAAGATATGGCAGCCAAAAGAGGAATGACCAGGCTGACAGGGAAAAAATGCCCAACAAGGCAGACAGCAGCAAATTATCAGAGTTGAATGCCATGAGAAATGATCTAATGTCCAAGATGAGCAGTAAAAGATGTTGCTTATTTGAAAGACTGAGTCATTGCACTAGAAATCGACTTAGAAGAAACAAATGAAGTGGCTCTGCTGCTTTATAAGACAGCTGCTACAGCTGAGAGAGATATGGCTTAAAAGGATACAGACAATAGAGCAAGGAAAAATGGTAGAACTAAGTTTGCTGAAAAGTGCTGGAGGAAGTTTAATGTGATATTAAAATAACCTATATATGTAAAATTGTTCATCTGGTAAGACACACAAATCTGGAGGTGGTGGGGGAAAACAGCACTCACACAGAGAACAGATGGGATTCCCATTTAAATTCTCAAATTGTAAAGTAAGACTTAAATACACACTCTAGTTTCTAGAAAAAAGATACAACTTTCACACATACAAGATGACACTTGAGAGAGAAAAAAATAAGCTTAAGAATCTTGGCAGATAGTGAAACCCAGTAAAGGATGATATGAGGTATTGCAACTGCACATAGTAGGAGGGCCATATCATATTATAAAACCTGTTAGTCTTTAAGGTGCTGCAAGACTGTTCATTAAGTTTTTCCAGTTACAAGACTAACAAAATGGCTACGTCTACACTGCTCACTCTTGGACAAGAACATATGCAAATGAGCAGCAATGAATAGCCACGCCTCATTTGCATACTTAATAAGCTGCCATTTTGTGCAAGGGGCTTTTGCGCAAGAAGGAGCAGTCCAAGGCTACTTCCTCATCTTCAGTGCAGGGTTGAGACACCCTGTCTCAAAGGGCTGTAGTTTACTGTTCACAAAATATATAACTCTATAGAACACAACTCAGATGGCAGAACTATCGCCCAATTCTTCAATTCTTATTCACTTGAATAATCTTTACTCACACAAATAGTTTAATTAAAGTTTATTCTAGTGGGAAAGTATTTCAGGATTAAATGCATTATAGCAGCTCCTCATTACTGTTTCTAAAAATGTTTACATTTTTCAGATACTGCAGTATTAGGAAGATTAAAATTATTCACTAATAATTCACAAGGTTTATTTTTATACATTGGATATTTTTATTCTGTGTTATACAGATTTGAAGCATTGTTTGTATTTACAATGTTTGGATTGATAACCAGTTAAAAAACAGGAAACAAAGGGTAGGAATAAATGGTAAGTTTTTGAAGTGGAGAGAGGTAATTACTGGGGTCTCCCAAGGGTCTGTCCTGTGACCAGTCCTATTCAACTTATTTATAAATGATAGGTAAACAGAGGTAAACAGTGAGGTGGCAAAATTTGCAGATGATATCAAACTGCTCAAGATAATTAAGACCAAAGCAGATGGTGAAGAACTTAAAAAAGATCTTACCACACTAAGGGTATGTCTAGACTACATGCCTCTGTCGCCAGAGGCATGTAGATTAGGCTACCAGACATAGGAAAATGAAGCAGCGATTTAAATAATCGCCGCTTCATTTAAATTTACATAGCTGCCGCGCTGAGCCGACAAACAGCTGATCAGCTGATCAGATAGTCTGGACGTGCGGGTGTCGACATCAAAGGTATTTGTCGACCACCCAGGTGGACTAGAACTTTAACAGAGTTTAAAAAGAGCTAGATAGATTCATAGAGGTTAGATCCATCAGTGGCTATTAGCAGGATGGGTAGGAATTGTGTCCCTAGCCTCTGTTTGTCTGGAAATGGATGACAGAAGAGGGATCACATGATGATCCCCTGTTGGATTCCCTTCCTCTGGGGCATCTGGTATTGACCACTAGCAGTAGACAAGATACTGGGCTAGATGGCTCTTTGGTCTGACCCAGTATGGCCATTGTTATGTACACATGTAGTGCTACATTGCATTGTATATTGTGTAGATGAGTCTTATAAAATTAAGATAGATAGCATGTTTTATTTGCCATTTAATACATTTTAGACAAGTTCTACTATCTGTATTCTATTAATTTTAATAGTGTTTGTGTTACCATGTGGAGATGGATGAATAGATACATTACCATTTTAAAAAAAGCTTTCTCCATATCCTAAAAATCATTATCTAGATATCTGGATCTAAAGTACATTCATTATAATACTTATTTAACATAACCATTATTAACAAAATAATGGAATTGCTTGCAAAGAAATGAAAGGGAATAGAAGAAAAAGATCTCTA